TGAAGCTGGTTGAGAGAATGCCAAGCGTGTGCAAAGCTGTCATCAAGGCAAAAGTGGCTACTTTGAAGAAACTCAAATATAAAATATATTTAGACTTGTTTAACACTTTTTTGGTTACTACATGATTCCATTGGTGTTATTTCATAGTTATGATGTCTTCACTATTATTCTGCAATGTATAACATAGTGAAAAATAAAGAAAAACCCTTGAATGAGTAGGTGTGTCCAAACCTTTGACTGGTACTCACCTGTCTATATAAGGTCCCACAGTTGACAGTGCATGTCAGAGCAAAAACCAAGCCATGAGGTCGAAGGAATTGTCCATAGAGCGCCGAGACAGGATTGTGTCGAGGCACAGATCTGGGGAAGGGTACCAAAACATTTCTGCAGCATCGAAGGTCACCAAGAACACAGTGACCTCCTTCATTCTTAAATGGAAGAAGTTTGGAACCACCAAGACTCTTCCTAAAGCTGGCCAAACTGAGCAATCGGGGGAGAAGGGCCTTGGTCAGGGAGGTGACCAAGAACCCGATGGCCACTCTGACAGAGCTCCAGAGTTCCTCTGTGGAGATGGGAGAACCTTCCAGAAGGACAACCATCTCTGCAGCACTCCTCCATTCAGGCCTTTATGGTAGAGTGGCCAGATGGAAGCCACTTCTCAGTAAAAAGCACATGACAGCTCGCTTGGAGTTTGCCAAAAGGCACCTAAAGGACTCTTAGACCATGAGAAACAAGATTCTCTGGTCTAATGAAACCAAGATTTAACTCTTTGGCCTGAATGCCAAGCGTCACGTCTGGAGGAAACCTGGCACCTACAGTGAAGCATTGTGGTGGGAGCATCATGCTGTGGGGATGTTTTTCAGCGGCAGGGACTGAGAGACTAGTCAGGATCGAGGGAAAGATGAACGGAGAAAAGTACAGCGAGATCCTTGATGAAAACCTGCTCCAGAGCGCTCAGGACAGACTGGGGCGGAGGTACACCTTCCAACCAGACAACGACCCTAAGCACACAGCCAAGACAACGCAGGAGTGGTTTCGGGTCTCTGAATGTCCTTGAGTGGCCCAGCCAGAGCTTGGACTTGAACCCGATCGAACATATCTGGAAAGACCTGAAAATAGCTGTGCAGCAACGCTCCCCATCCAACCTGACAGAGCTTGAGAGGATCTGCAGAGAAGAATGGGAGAAAATCCCCAAATACAGGTATGTGTCAAGGGCTGATGTAATGTGGTGTGGGAGTCAGGCGCAGGACACCGAAGCTAGTCCAACAGTCTTTACTAGTGAAACACTAGGCAAAATACAATAACGGCCTCAACACAAAACAGAGGCGAGCGATTACGCAAACTGTGCGTAAACAACGAAAACAACAAACATAGAGAAACACGCAGCACTAACGGACAGGCGTAACAATAACACACAAACTAACCAACACAAAGCAGGCAACTTATAGGACACATAATCAGACACAAACGGACACAGGTGCAATAGACAGACAAAACCAATCAAACATCGAAACATCTAACGGTGGTAGCTAGTACTCCGGGGACGGCGAACGCCGAAGCCTGCCCGAGCAAGGAGGAGGAGCAGCCTCGGCAGAATCCGTGACAGTATGCCAAGCTTGTAGCGTCATACCCAAGAAGACTCGAGGCTGTAATTACTGCCAAAGGTGCTTCAACAAAGTACTGAGTAAAGGGTCTGAATACTTATGTAAATGTGATATTTCAGTTTTTGTATTTTTATACATTTGCAAAAATGTATAAATCTGTTTTTGCTTTGTATTTTTGGGGTATTGTGTGTAGATTGATGAGGGGGTAAAAAACAATTTCATCCATTTTAGAATAAGGTTGTAACATAACAAAATTTGGAAAAAGTCAAGGGGTGTGAAAAAAAGTCAAGGGGTCCGAATGCACTGTATATAGGTAGGGTTAAAGTGAGTAAGCAACAGCATACATAACAGTAGCAGCAGCATATGTGATGAATCAAAAGAGTTAGTGCAAAAAGGTTTAATGCAGATAGTCCGGGAAGCTATTGGTTAACTATTTAGTTTACTATTTAGCAGTGTTATGGCTTGGGGGTAGAAGCATCGGTACCGCTTGCTGTGCGTTAGCAGAGAGAGCAGTCTATGACTTGGGTGGCTGGAATCTTTTTAGGGCCTTCCTCTGACACTGCCTGGTATAAAGTTCCTGGATGGCAGGGAGCTCGGCCCCAGTGATGTACTGGGCCCTACGCACTACCCTCTGTAGCGCCTTGCGGTCGGATGCAGCCAGTCAAGTTGCTCTCAATGTTGCAGCTGTATAACTTTTTGAGGATCTGAGGGCCCATGCCAAATATTTTCAGCCTCCTGGGGGGGAGGAAGGTATTGTCGTGCCCTCTTCACGACGGTGTTGGTGTGTGTGGACCATGATAATTCCTAAGTGATTTGGACACAGAGGAACTTGAAGCTCCCGACCTGCTCCACTAAAGCCCTGTCGTTGTGGATGGGGGCGTGCTCGGCCCTCCTTTTGCTGTAGTCCACTATCAGCTCCTTTGTCTTGATCACGTTGAGGGAGAGGTTGTTGTCCTGGCACCACACTGCCAGGTCTCTGACCTCCTCCCTATAGGCTGTCTCATCGTCGTTGGTGATCAGGCCTACCACTGTTGTGTTGTCGGCAAACTTAATGATGGTGTTGGAGTCGTGCGTGACCACGCAGACGTGGGTGAACAGAGAGTACAGGAGGAGTCTAAGCATGCACCCCTGAGGGTCCCCCGTGTCGAGGGTCAGCGTGGATCCAGTTGCAGAGGGAGGTGTTTAATCCCAGGTTCCTTAGTTTAGTAATGAGCTTGGAGGGCACTATGGTGTTGAACGCTGAGCTGTAGTCAATGAACAGCATTCTCACGTAGGTGTTCCTTTTGTCCAGGTGGGAAAGGGAAGTGTGGAGTGCAATAGAGATGGCATCATCTGTGGATCTGTTGGGGCGGTATGCGAATTGTAGTGGGTCCAGGGTGTCTGGAATGATGATGTTGATGTGAGCCATGACCAGCCTTTCAAAGCATTTCATGGCTACAGATGTGAGTGCTACGGGGCGATAGTCATTTAGACAGGTTACCTTGGCGTTCTTGGGCACTTGGACTATGGTGGTCTGCTTGAAACATGTAGGTATTACAGACTGGGTCAGGGAGTGGTTGAAAATGTCAGTGAAGACACTTGCCAGCTGGTCAGCGTATGCTCTGAGTATGCGTCCTGGTAGTCCGTCTGGCCCTGTGGCTTTTGTGAACGTTAACCTGTTTAAAGGTCTTACTCACATTGGCTACAGAGAGCGTGATCACAGTCTTATGGAACAGCTGGTGCTCCCATGCATTGTTCAGTGTTGCTAGCCTCGAAGTGAGCGTTGAAGCTATTTAGGGCGTCTGGTAGCCACGCGTCACTGGACAGCTCGCGGCTGGGTTTCCCTTTGTAATCCGTGATAGTTTGCAAGCCCTGCCACATCCGACGAGCGTCAGAGCCAGTGTAGTAGGATTTGATCTTGGTCCTATTTTGACAATTTGCCTGTTTGATGGTTCGTCGGAGGGCATAGAGGGATTTCTTATAAGCGTTCAGATTAGTGTCCCGCTCCTTGAAAGCGGCAGCTCTAGCCTTTAGCTCAGAGCAGATGTTGCCTATAATCCATGGCTTCTGGTTGGGATATGTATGTACGGTCACTGTGGGGCCGACGTAGTCGGTGCACTTATTAATGAAGCCGGTGACTGATGTGGTAAAATTCTCAATGCCATCGGATGAATCCCAGAACATATTCCAGTCTGTGCTAGCGAAACAGTCCTGTAGCTTAGCATCTGCTTGATCAGACCACTTCCGTATTGAGCGTGTCACTGGCACTTCCTGTTTGAGTTTTTGACAGAGTTATGGTCAGATTTTCCAAATGGAGGGAGAGCTTTGTATGCGTGCATCTCTGTGTGTAGAGTAAAGGTGATCTAGTTATTTTGCCTCTAGTTGCACAGGTGACATGCTGGTAGAAATGAGTTCCGACTAGCACGTGAACGCAGCAATAGATGAGTTTCCACTAGTAATTACCAGTTGGAGGGCCGTTCAAGTGGATTGTTTCAAGTCGTATGTGGTAAATTCCCACTTCCCACTTGGTTACAAACACAGCATAAAGGGCACGTTCCTGTGCCTAGGCTTTGCTGACGCATGCCAGATCTTGCAATGCCTGGATAGGTATTTTAAATATCAGCTAACCAGATTGCTGTAACATATGATGTGATCCACATCATGTTATAGCAATCTGTCAGTAGATGACACAGTTGATGACGTGGTACGAAACCATTGGCTGATGCATGCAATGTCTGAGCAGGGGAACGCGACCAAAGTCTGTTCAAGAATGTTTAAGATATTTTGGGGAAACGTGTCGCTCAGTACAAACCTTCATGCAACGTAGCAAATGTTTAATCGAACTGAACGCACCTCTGGTCACATACACATACAAGTATTTTTACTGACACCCTTGATAAAGATGAGTGAAAATGACTGTATAAATAAATAATTAAAATACTAAACTATATTGCATGCTTAAACAAAATGGAAATGATATTATTTTATACTAATGCAATTGCTCAGAGAAAGAGATTGTTTAGCAAGTTATTTTCTTAAAAAGGTAGGTCAAATTGATTGACACCCGTTTTTAATACCTTTCAATACCTCACCTAGCGAGGATAATGGCACTGAGCTTTTTTCTAAAATGTTTTATGAGTTGAGGAACACATTGAGGGGGTTCTTAGACCATTCCTCCATACAAAATCCTTGAACAATTATGATAAATTAAGATTACAAGGAGTACTGCTGATGCAAGTGAAAATAAAACAATGACTTTTCGTTTAAATAGACATTCTTTATAGAAACAAATGACAGGTTATGTGAATATTTACAGAAGGTAAAAGTCAATAACATTTTCAGGTAAGAAACATTGTTACATTAACCTAAAAACTATCAATCAAGAGGAGAACATATTTTTTCAGATGTACCTATTGATAAATAATGTGTAATAAAGGTGTAACAAACAAATGTACAAATTCATAAAATCTACTCCTGTACACAGAAAGGGAATATAAATCTTACAAACATAAAAAATACTCATATATTACTATCAAATAACATTATCCAACATAAGTTATTCAACAGTTTCTATGCAGACTCACTACTTAAACTTGTTATTTATTAACATATAATCTACAATACACCATTTTTACTTAATGTCATCAAATTGAGTGTGTACTGTATAGAGTCTTGTCACTTATTTCTGAGAGACTTCCATGCTACTGTGCCTCCACCTCTTTGGGATTGCAGGATGGGGTGGGGTCCCCAGAGGGTGGGGCACTTGTGGGCGTGGTCTTTCGAGGAGTGGCAGGTATGCCAGGGGCTGTGGTGGTGGAGATGGGCACCAGAGGGGGTGGGGCACTGACAGTGGCAGTGGGAGGAGTCCTGTTCAGATGACCACTGTGTGGAGCTGAGGGGCTGAGCCTGGGGTACATCACCCCACCCAGGGAGGACATAAAGGTGGGTGTGTGGGCTAGGTGGCCCTCCATGGGAGAGCCCTGGAGCTGGTGCATCCTGGCCCTCTCCTCTGCCTGCCGGTGCCTGTCCTGTAGGTGCGGCTGTGGGTGGGGGTGTTGCTCCCGCTGCTCCCGCTGTCTGTGGCCTCTCTCAAGGTCATAGGTAATATGTACCTGCTGGCTCTGCAGGTACAGGCCTCTGTAGGGGTCTCGAAGTGGGTCCCAGGGGCCCGAGAGGTGAAGGGGCACACGGTGGTCTCGAACTGTGGCTAGTGGACTGACCCCCATGAAGGGCTGGACACGGGCTCGCTCCATTGCACTGAGGCTGCTCACTGGGTGCATGGGGCTCATGGAGAGGGGTAGAGAGTGAGGTAGATGGCTGCTCTGAAGCATGCCTGCAGTGCTTTGATTTGATGAGGGGTGTGGCGCCTGAGAGTGAGGGTGGCCTGGTGGGAGTAAAGGGGTAATCTCCAGTGGGCCACCCATAACCTCTGGCTCATCTCTGTGCTCCTGCTTTATGTTTAAAGGTCCCTTCAGGGTTTGTGTGCTCTCGCTGGATTGGTGGTTCTTCACTGTGTTGTAAGGGTTTGAGGATCCCCTATCCTGCACCTCCAGCGCTGGAGATGAGCTTTGCTTCACTTGGACCCTCCCCAGCGAGGTGCCGTCCCTCTCTGCCTGACGGCCCTGATCAGGGCTGCTCCTCTTCCTCCCTGGGCTGCTGCTGCCAATCAGATTACTAATCTGAAAGCCTGAGGATGTGTGGGTGGACTGATGGCTTCTTTCCAGATAATTTCTATGGAGAGGGGGGTGGGGGGTGGGGGGGTTAACAGCTGAGAAATATCATGACATCTAGCCTCTTTGTGGTTGGAAAACTAGGCAATTCTTTGAATATCAGTTGCTGTTTCAAAATATAAAATCACAACTTTTGAAGGCCTTTCAAGATGGGAAATGCCATCTCTGCACCAGGGCTGTCACTGACCTGTCTCTCTCTGACTCCTCCTTCATAGCAGAGTGATCCCTTTTCTTAGCTTCCCTTTCCCTCTCGCTGCTCTGGACTGTGGGCTTGCGGGCCACATCAGCAGGCCTGGACAGTGCTGGAGGCGTGGGGAAGGAGGGGGGCATTCGGTTCAGGCGGTTCCAGGCTTCCTGAGGGTGGCTGACAAAACCTGGCAACCCATGGCCCTGCCTGTCACCAAACTGGCTGCCTGGGCCTGAGAGATGAAGGATTGATGTAATTTCAATAAAATCAATCAATTCACCAATTTAGTTGAAACAGTAGGTTGCATTATGTTGAGGTCAACTATTTGAGAGCGAAAACCTACCAAGAGATGGGGCACCTAGGCCGCCAAATGCATTAGTTGCCAGTTGTCCAAGGTTTCCATAGTGACTGGCTCGACCAAATGGATCTGAGGAGCATCACAAGAGGAGCACCTCTTAATGGCTGTTGTCTTGTACTTCAAACATCATTATTTCGACGTTGCACCAGCAGCCTATGGCTCTTACCAGTAAGGTGGCTAGCAGGTAGATAGTGGGCGTGATGCGTGGGGGCGCTGAATGGTGAGGCAGACAAATGACCTGTGGAGGGAGAAAGAACAGTAGTGAGCGAATCAACCACACTAACATGGACATACAGGAGCTAAGGAGTGGAGTAAACCAACAAAAGCAGTTCCTACCAAGACCGTAACAATATCATCATAACTGTACAATATCATAACCGTACAATATCACCATAACTGTACAATATCATCATAACTGTACAATATCAGCATAACTGTACAATATCATCATAACTGTACAATATCATAACCGTACAATATCATCATAACTGTACAATATCATAACCGTACAATATCATCATAACTGTACAATATCATCATAACTGTACAATATCATCATAACCGTACAATATCATCCTAACTGCACGTACATCCTCATTTAATATCCACAGTAATGAATAGGACATGGAGTGGGCAGGCTAACCTGAGGAGGACAGGAGAGGTTGGGCCAGGTCATGGCCATAGGACAGTCCAGGAGGAAGACCTGGTGCAGCTGGCCGACTAAACAGGTCCATCTTCACCCCACTCATATTCAGCTGATGTGGATCAAAGCGCATGTGCTGTTAAAGATAGATAGATAAAGTGGGGAGGAGAGTGATGGACAGAGAGAGAGAGAGATTAAAAGCTTAATAGAGATTGAGAGGTGAAGGGGTTGCTGAGACAGGGGAGGATACAGATAGCATTATTTCACTGATTATCGATTTTGGAACTTTCGCTCCAATGAGTGAAATTAATGAACACATCTCGTTCACCTTCATTCTCTGCTGGTGGTGATGAATCTGCCACGCGATCTGGCCATGCATTAGACACCATTTACCAGCCTTCTGCAAGAATAGAAGGAATATAATTTGAGGGCTGGAATGCTGTCAACAAGCTTACAGAACGGTGAATGTCATATTCTTACCCTAGCTGATGATCTGAATGGATCAGTTATCTGTGAACAGAGGGAGAACAGAAGGAGAACACAGGAAGGTTAATATCTGAACCTCTACTACTGTGTTTAATTCATAATTTAATGGATAGAGAAGAGGCCTACCCGTGGGTCCTTTGGTAGTAGATTGTGAGGGACTTCTCCTGGCCGTGTCACTGCATCCATAGGCTAGGGAGGGATGGTAAGTCACATGTTTAGATTGACAATTATGTGTGTGGGGTTGGTTAACACAGGGTAATGAAGGAGACAGACAGTCAGACAGACACACAGACAGACACACAGACATACACACAGACAGACAGAAAGACACACAGACAGACAGACAGACAGACAGACAGACAGACAGACAGACAGACACACAGACAGACAAACACATAGACAGACACACAGACAGAAAGACAGACAAACACAGACAGACAGACAGACACACACAGACAGACAGACAGACAGACAGACAGACAGACAGACAGACAGACACACACAGACAGACAAACACATAGACAGACACACAGACAGAAAGACAGACAAACACAGACAGACAGACAGACAGACACACACAGACAGACACACACAGACAGACAGACACACAGTCAGACACACAGTCAGACAGACAGACACACAGACAGACACACAGACATAAAGACCCACAGACATAAAGACCCACATACCCACAGACAGACAGACAGACAGACAGACAGACAGACACACAGACAGAAAGACACAAACACAGACAGACAAACACATAGACAGACACACAGACAGAAAGACAGACAAACACAGACAGACAGACAGACAGACACACACACAGACAGACACAGACAGACAGACAGACACACAGTCAAAACACACAACCAGACAGACAGACACACAGACATAAAACCCACAGACATAAAGACCCACATACCCCACAGACCCCAGACAACAGACAGAAAGACACACAGACAGGAAAGACACACAGACAGTCAGACACACAGACACACAACACACAGTCAGACAGACAGTCAGACACACAGACAGACAGCACAAGACAGAAAAAGACAGACAGAACACAGACACACATACAGACAGACAGAAAGACAGACACACACAGACAGAAAGACAAAACCCGACAGAAAAGACAAAAAAGACACACAAAACAGCTCAGACAGACACACATCAGACAACATACAACACACAAGACAAAAAGACCCAAAAGAAAACACAGACAACAGACAGACAAAAGATACACAGACCCGAAAACCCCACAGGCAGAAAAACACACAGACAAGTCAAAACACAACAGTAGTACACGACAGCACCAAGTGAGACCCGACAGACAACGACACAAAATACATAAAGGCCCAAACAGGGCACACAGGGACAGACGACAGACAACAGAAGACACACAGACACACAGAACAGAAAAGAAAACCAGACAGTCGACACACAGACAGACAAAAACAGACAACCACAGACAGACACACAGTCAGACATACAAACAGTCAGACACACACACAGTCAGACACACAGTTTAGACACACAGACAGAAAGAAAACAGAAAGACAGACCCACACACAGACGGGCAGACAGACAACAGGGCACACAGACACACAGAGACACACAGAGACAGACAGACAGACCGACAACAGACAAAGACAGACAAAAAAAGACCACAGAGAGAAAGACACACAAAGAAAAGACACACAGACAGACACAAGACGACAACAACAGACAGACCCCAGACAGGAAAACCACCAGACAGTCAGACACACAGACCACACATACACACAGTCAGACAGACATAAAGACACACAGACACAGAACGACAGACAGAAAATCAGACACACAGTCAGACACAAAGTGAGACAGACAGACACACACACAGACATAAAGACACACAGACATAAAGACACACAGACAGACACAGACAGACAGACATACAGACAGACACACAGACAGAAAGACACACAGACAGTCAGACACACAGACACACATACACACAGTCAGACAGAC